AATAATATTATAATAAGAGATCCCAAATATAATAACAATAATTTTAAGACTCTGTACATAATTTATAACAGTTAATAGTATGTACTGTAGAATTATTATGTCTGAAATAATTGTTATTCTTACTGTTCCATTCTCAAACTTGTAAAATATTAGTTCAAATAGCCCACCAATTCTTATAATATAATAGTATAACATTCTACAAGTAATAATAGTAATTTACAGTACTTAATTATAATTTTTGGTGACCAATTGCAAATGCTACAGCTTTTACATGTTTAGAAAAGGTATTATGAGAATCATCAAAAAAGTACAGTTCTCCTTATATAATTCCAAGTATTTATTTTATCTCTATTTTTTTTACAGATATATACTATAACAGTAAAAATATAATTTTTAAATACTTTACATACATATAAAATAACACTTGTAAGGAGTAATCTACAAATCTTTTGAGTTTTAGTTAAAGTGAACATCTTGCGACACAAATCATGTGATATATTGCCATTCTAAGAAATTATGCAAGTAGCAGTAAGCACTTCACCTCCAGAGTCGTATAATGACTCTGACTGTGTCATTTGTTGATAACGTCATCGTACAACCAACCCTTATTCTCATCTAATATTAAGACATTTATTGTTCTTATGACGAATCTTCGGACACATTTGTATTCGTATAACTCATTGTACTTAGTTGACTTTGTAATCCTGTTTTCGAAGAACATTGTTGTGGAATATATAAATCGTTACATAAACCCTTTTGGATTGAAGGTCGCCAGATGCACATTATCAGGGTTTACAACGTACGTCTTCTTGTTAACATTTATCTTATGCGTTGATTGAGATGTGCGTCGTCCGCAGCTCAACACACCAGAGATGTCTGTCGACCTACTTTCTCTCACTGTCGCTCAACACCACTTTATACTTGTCGCTACCTTGAATGACTCACGGTAAATTGGACACTGACTTGTTTGACACTATTCCAGATGATGATTTTAATCCCTGTATGTTTTCTGCAAATAGCAGACTTCCTCCTTACTGATGCTCTTTAGACACTACTGCGCAAGTCATCTACTATCCTCAATCATTCACACTCGACGAGCCATGAATTATTGACACGTACGGTGACACGAACGACATCGCACTGAAGCCTGTTCAAGACGTTCCTCGATACAGTGAATCAATTGTACTGTCCTATGAGTGCTTTCATTCAAGCCGATGACCGATGGCACCAACAGAACAATGCTTAACAATATTACTTATAACACTCCTGCTGTATCATTGTACCATCCGTGTTCGATGCAGTTTGCATGGACGATGTTGTTGGACTTGGAGCAGCAAACGTTGCATCAGTGTACAGACTTTGGAACCATGTTCTTGATGATGGCAATATACTGTAGACGTTGTTTTAATGAATAATAATTCTGGAAAACATCCTTCGCAAGTTGCCCTCATTTCCTTACTATATTGATTTATGCTGATGCATTCATTCCTTCTCCAAGCCAGTCTTGCAGTGGTCTTTATCACAGCTTTGGATAAGATGGATAACGCTTCAACAGCTGGGAGAGACATCCTCAGGCTATCTTGCAATTCATGTTCGACAAGTGTGCAGTGCTGAATAAACCTACGAGAGGGAACGCAGCAAGGAAGAATAGTACGCCTAACGCCTAACGCCTAACTTTACTGGCCTCACTCTCGGCCTTGATCCATTTCTTCCTGCCTCATTTCCTCAAATTCAGCGTAAGTAACTGATTGCATTATATATTCATTTAACGAACGCATACAAGCGCTTAATTGAATTCATTCCGGCGGGAGGTCACCCAACTTTCCTTATTCCGATTACCTCTGGACTCGCCGTGGTGCCAAATGCAGACGTATCTAGCTATCGTGCAACGAAAGCCGCTCTGCACAGCCTAAGCATTTCATTGTCTAATAGCCTGACTGGAACAAATGTGCACATCATGGAAATCCTTCCTCCGTGTGTATCATCGGGAAAAAGTCTAAAAGGTTATATTACATTATAATGGTGTGAAAAAAGTAAAAAAAGTAAAAAAAGTAATTTGCATATTATCGGACCTCGATTTCTGATAAAGTAGTACAACATTGTATAAGGTACTGTAAGGTTTATGAATGTAATAAAAGTACATAAGGGTAATACCCCTTTTAAACATATAAAATGCATAATATCGGACCTCCCTTTTTTGAAATGTATTGTAAGGATTACCAAGTTTTGAAAGGGTAATATATATTTGTAATGTTTTACAGACTATACATAGTCATGATTCCTTAATAATAATAATTTTCCCTTACATCCATTCATTATTAAAATAACAAAAATCAATTATATTAAAATATTTGTACGATACATCATTATCTACAATAATTAAGGAAAATAAACCGAAACACATACATAGTGCAGCCTGCGTCAAGATTTGTGCAGAGAGTGAGTGAGAGTGTCCGTGTCTGCTGTGATGCGAATACGAGTAGGTAGAGGTTGGGATCGGACCAGACTCGAGCAGCGAACGAGTGCATTACGGGTGTCGATTGCCAGGCCCATCCCTTGACCAGATCCAGACGGACCACCGAAAGCGAGGGCATTGAGAGGCTCAACGGTTATGACTGCATCTGCGGTTGACCCGTCCTTGCAAGCACACCGCATCACCC